TACTTAACTCATGTAGCCCTTAAAAACAAAAGATTCCCTCTAATAGTAAAATCATTAAGACCACAAGCTGCTTATGATGTGATGTTGTAAATTCTGAATTGTATGGAGCTAAAGTGAGCAACTCTGTCAGGAACTCCTACTGATCTAATAACCTAACCTAAGTCTACACAGATCTTAGCATAGGCATCCTTTAGTCTCGAGAGATTATGGTAACATGCTCTGAATCGAGGAGTGTCCTCTCCAGAGCATGAAGCCCGGGTAAGGTAATATGGAGGATAGGCTGTTACCCAAGCAGCAGATCCCCCCTCTCCACATTGCTGAAATGGTCCAATGGAAAGGCAAGAGCCAATACAACTGGTTCCAGCAATGTCGCAGGAGTTGGCAGAACGACACATGCTGCCTTCGGGACTCCAGCTCCGGATTTTGCCTCGAGGTTAACTCCTGAAGCCTTTTCCATGAGTGGATATAGCCACAAGGCAGTGGAGGTTTGAAATTGGAGTTTCCCTTCTCCTAGATGGGCTGCCTTCCATGGCTGTCGAGCCCCACCTACCCAGCCTGCTCTTTAACAGTGCAAAAGTAGAATCTGATCCTTAAAACTTTTGTGACTCCCCGGCTTATGCAAATCTAATTGGCTTTCCTATTTACCATATTAAGGCCAGATACAAAATCTACACAGCCTCCCATTTCTTCGGCATAGGCCAACAAATAGGTTGACTCATATCACAGCTTTCCCCCCCATCACAGTATATATTTGCATTCACTTTGAAGTAGCATCAAAAGGGAATATTGTCTTCCTTGTCTTCAAATTTTCTTCCTTGTGTTTTGCTCCCAAGTCACAACGGCTATACATGGATTTTGATTACAATTACACTAAAAAAAAACCCTATAAATGTAGGTGTCTTTTCCAATATTAACATAATAGGTAAAACATAGGAAAAGGAAGTTGCCTTATACCAAACCATACCATTAGTTCATTTTGCTAAGTATTGGCTGTATCTCTTCAGGTTTCTAGAAGAAATTTTCTCCCAACCTTGCTCGGAGTTCCCTGTATTATCTGGTAGTCTACAATCCAAGTACCAGATCAGGCCCAAACTTGCTTAGCTTCCAAAGTCAGACAAGATTGGAAGGGCTCCAATGTGGTTTAATGTAGCATTTGCCATGGTAATCTCTGAACATATGAATTTCCTCTTAGCAGACACTTCCCTCTTTAGGAATAACTGATTTGTGTCAATATCTGATCTGTTCTAGCCAGTAAATTAGCTTCTTTTCCTCTGCAATGCGAGTATGCAGTCAGAAACAGTCACATTTTTAAAAAAATCTTATGGAACTATTGGTGATTTTAGATGGTGTTCTCATCAGGAGTGTTCAACTGTATTATGTGTACTTGAAAAATGTGACTGTCAAATAACACTAGAGTGTTACAATTAATTGCATGACTTTATAAAACATAATGCTGTAGAAATGGATTTCTGTGTGAATTAACTGTGAGCCTGAGGACAATGTGTCCATAATAAAGGATAAACATATACTTTCTCTGTGGCCATTGTAAAGAATTTCTGTTGCCATGAGACAATAACTTAGTTTTGTCCTATATAATTGTTAAATTGGCTTTTAGGCAGACTTTGGTAATTTTTCTTACTCATCAGAAAATGACAAGGGATTTAATACTACAATATAATTCATTGAACCATTACTGTAGACACTGTAATTTAAGTAAACCTTTGAACTTCTTCTCCACTGGTAATATTTATTTAAGTTTGGGCATGGGGGGGGTTTCCTACAAAAATGTATTTGTTTGTCTGGAAATCTTTCGGGTTTTGCAATTTCAAGTTTTTAAGGCTTACCTTCAAGTAAAAAATGTCTCTTATTAACCTGGAGAAAGACATATGCCTTTTCTCTCAAATAATTTCGAGTTTTGTGGGCCTGAAAAAGACCTGAATGGTTAATAAAAATTAAGGATTGTGTGCTAAATGTAGGAAACTTTAATAGCTTTAAGTCCCTTTACACTCAACACCTAGTTGAATGCAGCAGAGAGCAGAGCTTTCTTTTCCAAATAAAGGTGCAACCAAATTGGGTTCCTAAATCTAAGAATATGGAGGATGTAAGTTGACACTAATTGGTGGTAAAACCCAAAGATAATGCTAAAGTATGGGAAATCTACAGAGATAGAAGGAGTGTTTGAGAATATTTTCTGTAAATGCATGTAAGTCTAGCTATATCAATATCCTGGAAATGTAGATGTTTCCAGTATTCAGCAGGATAGACATAGAGGATTTTTCTCCAACCCAGTGCCCTCCAGATATGTCAGATTATATCTCCCATCATTGCCAACCTGCATGGCCATTGGCTATGTTGTCTGAGATTGATGGGATATAGTCTTCCATATCTGTAGACTGCCAAGTTGAGGAGGGCTAATGAAAAGCATTGTAAAAAACCCTCTCTATTTGCTTAGCAAATGGATAACAGAAGTGCATTTCTTGTGTATTACTTTGAAAACTTGGAAATAGAAAATCATCTTTGCTGTACAGTTTATGCATCATCATATATGTGATATTTCCATTATAAAAAGTGTATTTTCAAATACGCAGTATGAATTTGGATTTCCAATCTTCACTAGAAAATCTTGCTTTTCTGTCCAAAACTACAAAATTTTATTTCTGGGTGACAGCAATAACCAAATGGTATCCAAATACCAAATTATGGAGTACAAACATAAATTTTAGCACAGGTATTTTTGTGGCTTATTATGAAGATGAGAGAATAAAAAGTCATAGTATACCAGATGTATGTTCTTGGACTTCTACAATAAACTTTTTATTACAATATGAATGCAAAAGATTTTGTACAAACATTATAATGCATTCAGACTATATTCAGATATCACAATAAATAATGGCTTTTTATAACAAAATGAGATGAAATGAGCCTCAGATTCCCATGCTCCTCCACCTCCTTCTTGAAGTGCAGCCACAAGGATGAGAATCACAAGCTTTCACTTCTATTTTAGTAACCACAGTTTAATGTTATGCCTGGACCCTTAATTGGGTTTAATCTCAACTGTGCTTTGTTGCAATAGGACAGCATGTAATCCACAATCTTGTAATCTTGTTGCTTAGCATGGTAAGTAGCATTAGAGTAGCCCAAATCCCCAAAAGTCATATCTTCTGTAAATTCTGTTTATTCTAGTTGTAACTTACTTTGGCAAGTAAGTTGTAACTTACTTTGGCAAGTGACAACTAGAGCAGGTCCACTTCAATCAGTAGAATTTATAGGGGTTCACTCACCAAATCCCCATTGACTCAGTGGACACTAGTGCAATCTGTTACATTAAGCACCAGGAAATTTAGCTATTGTTTCAGGCTGCTGTTTTTGTCCTAAAGGCTACAAGGAGAAGTGTGTAGACTATCATCGTAGAGACTTGAAGATGTTAGAATATGATTGTAGCCTGATAAAAGCCACCAATGCCATCGGCTAATAGTATTTTACTTGTGTTTTAGTAACATTGTCTGAAATCCTGTTTAGTTAGCATAGGACAGTGGTTCCTAAACTTGGGTAGTCCAAGCATTCTTGGGCTGCATTTCCAGGAAGCCCTCACCACCAGCTGTACTGGCCAGGATTTCTGGGAGTTGCAGTCCAAGAAGTCTTGTGCTACCCAAGGCAGGGAACTGTAGACATAGGAAATTGCATTAGAGTAAGCCAATTGAATACTTGGCTTTTTCACCAATAGGGTGATATATTAAATGAATGAACGAACGAACGAATGAATGAGACTTATTATGCTGAAATAAATCACAGTTAGAATTGGTCCATTTGAATCAAATGAAAAGTTTGGAGGAATTGACTCTCTAAATCCCCATTGATTCAGTGGGCCTACTAGTGCAATTTACTGTGCTAAATAACAGAAAGTTGGCCACTAAGTAAAGTTCTACTTTTATTTTAGAGATATGCATATCCAACATTTATTTATTTATCTCTGGTAAATTTTAGTTAATTTTTAGTTTGATTGACTGTATTTTCAACTCTGCTATGCTCTGTGAAGTGCTACAATAAATACCTGTCTGTCTGTCTGTAATACATACACAGTTCCATTGGTTCTCTCCCTGTAAGGTTCTTAGGCTTCCAAAGAATATTTGATGACTACACCTTTAGATGACTACATTTCACTCACTTGGACCATGGGCTTATCTCTGAGGCTACATTGCTGTCTCAGGCCTATACTTCCTGTTAGTAATGAACCCCCCCCCAAAAAAAAAACTACTGCAGTTCTTTCAGGGAGTTATAATTTCACTGTACTTAAGGTCCTGTCTCAAAGGTACCTCCCAAAAATTTGCTGTTCCCAGAAAGCACCATGCCAGTTTCCTTTTTTGTACTTTAATATGGAACCTCAGAGATAAACACTGTTCCAAGTGAGCCAAATGCGTGTGTTGGTCTCTGACGAGAACTCTCAGAATTCTGCCTGGGCAACTTTTGGCGACAGAGTTTAAAAACAACAATAAATGGCACATCACTACTGGATTGTACACCATGGAAAATCATGTTGCAATAAATCTGTTAGTCTTTCAGATGCAATTATCCTTTTGTTTTAGTTTTAGCAAAAGGGAAAGATCTTGCCATTTTTTATTTATCCCCCTGAACTGAAAAGTTGTGGGCATGCTATGTTTGTCCAGTCAAAATCAAATGATAGATCAGAGGACAATATTTTAAAAAGAGTATTGCTAGTGTAAACTACCAAATTCAAATACTTGTCACTAAAATAGGAGACCATTCATGAAGTGTGATAAATATAATTGGTAATATCCCCTTGTGTTTCTTATGGCGGCACCAAATGTTTCATCCAAAGCCCCAAGTTCTTTATCTCAGTGTGTACATTCACACTAGAGCCAACCCTTTGAGAATTGTCCAGACTGAGAACTTTTGATGGTTCTGCTGCTGCTGTTTTGCAGAAATTATCCTCTAATATATGTTTTATTCCTAATGTTGTTTTCTCTCCTGTTTTGCAGCACTGATAGCCATTGGGCAATATAGTATGACAATAGAGACTGTGGATGTGGGGTGGTGCAAAGAAATCACAGATCAAGGAGCCACCCAAATTGCTCAAAGTAGTAAGTCGCTCAGATACTTGGGACTGATGAGATGTGATAAGGTAAGCAGCTTTTATTTATTAGAAGAAAACTTGTGTGATACGTGTGAAAATGGCATGCCCATTTATTCCACATGCATTCATATTAGTAATTATCAGCAAATGGCAGTATAGTGGACCCTCAACTTACGAAGGTCTCTACTTACAAAAATTTAGAGGTACGAAAAGCTCTGGTGCAAAATTTTAGTTCGACTTGGGGCTAGAGCTTCGACCTACGAATGGAAGGGGGAAAGGGTGGGAAATTCAAAGCCGCCCCCGCTGCCCTCTGCCCACAGGGACAGAAGGCAGAGGGCAGCAGAGGGGGTTGTGAAGCCTGGGAAGCCGAAAGCTGCTCCACCCCCGCTGCCAGCTTTCTGAGCCGCTCCACCCCCGCTGCCAGCTTTTGGCTTTCCGGCGACAGAAGGCAGAGGGCACCGGGGACGGGAGACAGGCCAGCGGAGGGAGTTTTGAAGCATGGGAAGCTGGAAGCCGTCAGCAGGCACAGAGCACCTTTCGGCTTCCAAGGCTTCCAAAGCTGCACCCGCTGCCCTCTGTCTCCTGTCCCCGGTGCCCTCTGCCTTCTATCCACAGAAGGCAGAGGGCACCAGGAACGGGAGACAGAGGGCAGCAGGTGCAGCTTTGGAAGCCCGGAATTTTTTCTTTGTCTGAAACAGATTAAATGGTTTTCAATGCATTCCTGTAGGAAATGGATCCTCAATCTACGGACTTTTCGACCTACAGTCACCGTTCCAATGCGGATTAATTCCGTAAATTGAGGGTTCACTGTAACTCTTATAATGACACCTGCATTAACAGTTTTGACCAGTAGCTGTTTTCTGAATTTCACAATTTTCTTTTTAAAATGTCATGACCTTTCTGTAATCCAAAATCTTCTTGCATAATTTATGCCAATATTGGGGAAATTGTGTCATTCTCTCATCCCACATTGCTGTTAAATAAAGGGTGCCTATTTTGATACCTCATTCTTTCAATTTTTCTGTGTACTTAAATTGTGTACAGTTCAGACTTCAATTAGGGAAATCTGCTGCAACCAATGAGATCATTGCCCATATGCTGGCATAAATTATGGGTTGTTTTGTCCATAATTATCTTGAAACACAAAGCACTAAATTGCTGTAGAGTAACTTTCAAAAGAAATAATTTTCTGCTCAGTTCTCTGATCAGAAATCTTCACTGTACAAGCACATGAGCCAAGAATTTTAGTATAGCTCACTTGGAAAAGAAATACTGCAATTCAAAGACCTTTATGATTAAGTTTTCTGCATATTCCCCATTTAAAAACACATTAAGAAACTCCTGCGTGCTTCATTCTTTGTTTGCAGAAATAAATTTTAAAGATGAATCTGTGTTTTTTTTATAGCTGCTAAACTGAAGAACCAATATTTGTGAACTGACAGAATATTTTAAATTTAGTGTTTTGTAATAGGTAAGAGAGGAAATTTGTGTGAAAGTCTCCTTTCATGAACTGAACTAAAATTATGCGCTTAGACTGTTCAAAGGGTTAATCGACCATGGGTTTTAAAATGGATCCTGAGTCATCTGATTAATGTTACATATATTTATTTTGTGAATGTAGTTAAAACTGCTTGTACAATCAAGAACAGCTTCTTTAAGAGCAGTACATTTGGCCCGTCTTGAGCTACTAAAGAAAGTCAATGGCCTCAATGCTGGAAACAGATTTATGTACAACATCAGTTAAACCAGCCATACTATATAAGTCCCTTCTTTAATTGCTGTCATGTTTTTCCGACTTCTGACAAAGGGACTGCATGCTGTGTAGGGAGAAAACTGAGCTTGCACAAATAAAAATGTGTGAGATGACTGCAGAGCAAATGGGGAAACTTCCTGATTAATGGAGAATATATATGGGTATCTTGATGAGAATGTAGTATAGTGTTCCATTAGAGATACCTCTGGGGGTCATTTAACTTGCTTGTTAAACCTTGTGTGCAGAGGAATGAGGAAGATTGTCATAAAAGGAACAAATTTTCAGATCTATCCTGAATTTTAAATGTGTAACATGTGATGTCTGCAGCTCTGAGAGCTCCATCTCTCTTGTGCATCCAGAGAATACTGCTTAGACTGTTCAAAGGGTTAATCGACCATGGGTTTTAAAATGGATCCTGAGTCATCTGATTAATGTTACATATATTTATTTTGTGAATGTAGTTAAAACTGCTTGTACAATCAAGAACAGCTTCTTTAAGAGCAATACATTTGGCCCATCTTGAGCTACTAAAGAAAGTCAATGGCCTCAATGCTGGAAACAGATTTATGTACAACATCAGTTAAACCAGCCATACTATATAAGTCCCTTCTTTAATTGCTGTCATGTTTTTCCGACTTCTGACAAAGGGACTGCATGCTGTGTAGGGAGAAAACTGAGCTTGCACAAATAAAAATGTGTGAGATGACTGCAGAGCAAATGGGGAAACTTCCTGATTAATGGAGAATATATATGGGTATCTTGATGAGAATGTAGTATAGTGTTCCATTAGAGATACCTCTGGGGGTCATTTAACTTGCTTGTTAAACCTTGTGTGCAGAGGAATGAGGAAGATTGTCATAAAAGGAACAAATTTTCAGATCTATCCTGAATTTTAAATGTGTAACATGTGATGTCTGCAGCTCTGAGAGCTCCATCTCTCTTGTGCATCCAGAGAATACTGTAAAGAAGTTAACTCTGAAAAATTTCCTTCAGTTTTCTACCTTCATGCAGATCTTTTTTCAACTGCCACCAATCCTGCATATCTGTTTTAAAAAGTCTTGACAAAGACAATTTTGAGATGCTACTGTGACAGAAAATGTTCTTCCGTACAGTGTATGTGTGTGGGAGCTACACATTGAACCCTATCCCCCCCACAACTTCTTCTGAAGTGCTGTGTAATGACTATGCCAGGTGGCCATTTTATTTCACATAATATTGGCAGACATGCAGTTAAAAAGCTGATAAACACAAAAGAAATATAAAGAGTATATAGCAATAGATTTCAACCATCTCCTCCAAAATGCTCTCCATGACATCATCTTTTTGGCATTTCTTTGATATGTGCTTGACATAATTTCAGAATAATAAAAGCATCAAGTGCCTTGCCAGAAAAGATCAGAGAAAATGCAGTGCTGGTTAAAGACAGGCTCTGTTTGATTCAATCGATTATATAACTGCCTCTAGGCTACAGATGTCACTAGTGGCTGTGCTATTGATCCAGATCCTGAAAATGATCAAATTAATTCATTTCTCATCAAGTTGCCATTATTGTGGTCTTTTTTATTCTTTTTGATTTGTGTACAGTGTGGAAGGGACACATTCACTGCTTTATGGAATAAGCTGCCTTAATAATCTTAGTATCATGAGTAATGACAGGCTTATGTCACCATGATCTCTTACATTTTTTAACCCAATTTTTATGAAAACTACTTTCCAAATCTAGTCTAGTTAATGAAGGATCAGTTCCAGAGTTCTTGATGTAAGTAATATAACTTTCTTTCCAAGTGGATATTTATATAATTGTTCCACTAGGCCAGAGGAGGAATATCACTCACCACTGCTGCTGACCAGATTAGAAACACCTGTATTATGGGAAATATCTGGTGTTACCTGGCCAGGGTTGCTAAGGACCATGCTCACAAGGACAGGGATGCATTTCCCACCCTTGCAGAATCTTTATAAAGTAGGATTTGAAACAAAAGCAGCAGTAACAGCAATACTGAAGGACCAAGGATTGGACATTTTATAATATTGTCCTCCACCGTTCATACTTTATTGCTTACTTCCTTCTTATTGTTGATCCCTTCCATCTTATTATTTTTATTGTATGTTACATTTCTCATATTATGTGCACATGTGATTTGTAATCTGTTCTATTTACTATGACATGTTGGCCAAAATCCTACATTAACATCACAGAAACTGTGCAAATTTTGAAGACAAATTGCCTCAAATTAAGAAATCGCCATAAACATTATCTGTTGTACACTGAGCCATACATAACTTCAGGCAATTTGCCTCCCAGAATAATGCCATATGTGTTGTACTTGCAGGCATGACTCACAGAATATGGTCCTTTGGCACTATCCTTGATCTCCATGGACAATGGGGGGTGTTTTCAAAATATGAATGCAAAAACAAATTAAAACAATAAAAACTTCAAGACAAAAACGGCAGCAAAAACAAAACAGTCAGTGAATGTGAAAATGTCTTGGCAAACAAAAGCACCAAACCCAATTGCATCAGTTACACCTGTATAGGACAGTATTCAGTAGCTGAGTTGCCACCACTGAGAAGGCCGTCTCCCGTGTTGATGTGTAGTGGACCTGAGAATCTTAAGTTAGGCTGATGCATGAAGAGATGCTCCTCCAGGTATTTTGGTTCCAAGGAGTCATGGGACCCATGAAAATGGATTTCCCTCTTCAAAATTTAGTGGAGGGGAATGGTGGCTCCATGCTTTCCTTTTCATTATGCTGAGCACTGGTGGCTTGCCAGGCAGAAGAGTAGCCCTCCAAGCAGCATCAAGTCTAGGCAACATTTTTATTTTCCATAGCACCCCAGAGCAATACTGGGAGTGACACATAGTTACACCCAGCTGCCCTGTGCAGATGGCAGTGCTGCATCAAGAAGAAGAGAGGAAGAAGGATACCCTGGACAAGCATTACCCAGGCAAGCTGTCCAGTATGCTGACCTGACACTGGCTCTGGGAGAAGGGCTATGTTTGTAGAGTTCCCCATCCCGGAGATAAAAATGACCACCTTTGTGAATGCAGACGCTCAATGGTGCATGAAGTTCCTTCTCTAACTAAAATATTAGGGTGGCTAAATAATTATTTTATGGGCAATTTTAATTTGACTTTTCTTGTTTGATTGTAATTTGACCCTTTGCACCTCAGCTTCAATACAGAGAAGTGCAACAGACAGTTTCAGACTTGCAGTCCTTAAAATAAATCAACCCATGTGAAAGAATTCTGTAGAAAGATACATTTTCTTGTGTCAGAGAAGTGTGCAGGAAT